ACACTGTCACTTGAAGAAAGGCCTATGCCAAACCTATAGCCCTGGTACCGCTGGTACCGAGGGGCTAGCTCCCGTTTCAGGGTGGGCGCTGAAAGAATCGGAGAGATTCAAAGGTAACCGTGCGGCAGCTCTCACATGGGGATATAGAGCGACAAACGGGACACCAAGCGGGGGAGTGCGCGAGGTGTACCCAGCGAAGGATCGCATCTGAAGGAGAAAAGGTCAATGAGCCGCAGGGGACAGCGTGCTTGGCGTACACCTCAGCCAGCACATCGCGTTTAAGCAAGGGGGAACGACGCGCCAAGGGGGGCCAGCGAGAGAGATTGAGACAGATGAGACGGGGGCAGTCTCTGATGGCATGCCAGGTGTGCCCGACGTCAAGCAGTTGTAGAGTGAGGGACGAGCTCGAGGCGGAGACGCGTCGGCGCTCAGGTGGTTACTTGCGTGTGTGAGTGAGAAGGGGACTGCACAGCGAGAGCGAGAGATTGTGTGTGTGCGGGAGAGAGAGAGAGAGAGAAGGATGAGACTTTGTGCACAGCAGAGAGAGAGAGAGAGAAGCGGACTCTGTTCATTGGTAGATCAATCACTCCCTGCCTATTGGTTGATCAAACAGTCAGCGGATCAGAGGCTGGAACAGGCCAATTAGGCAGGCGCGCAAGTCAGGGGGATATGAGAAAGAAAAGCTACGCTGCTGAAGACAGCCTTTCTAAGCAGTTGTTCTCTCGAATATAACGCGAAGTATCCCCAAATACAACTTTGATGACCCTGTGTTCTAATCGAGAGAAACGAAACTAGTAAAGGCACACGAGYGGGACACCAAGACACACACACGCAAAGAGAGAGAAAGTACCCTAGTCGAGAAAGAGAAAGTTCGCTGGTGGTCGGTGGTGGAAAGAAAGTGAGAATGTGGAAAAAAAGAGAGATATGGTGGCCTGCCAGTGTGCAAAGGACGAAGGAATATGGTTGTGTCTATTGGTGATTACAAGGGGCTGCCTTAGCATATGACAAATCAAGATCATGGATGCGGATCTTTACTTGATCTGGGAACAGTTGCTCACGACCTTAGTCGTGAGAACACCGGCGACCGTGAGTACAGTGCACGACAAATCAGAGTGGCTGTTGTTGCCGTTTACTTTTCCCATGTTCTAGCAACGGGATCATTTCGCAGCTTTATTGATAAGTCCCCCAGGGAAATGGCAGTGCGGGCTGTCGTGCTCCAGATTATGAGACTTGGCAATGCATCTTTTCATCATCTAACGGATTCTAACCAAATATACAGTTCCATTTTAGTGAAAGAACGGGCTGCTGCGGTGCTTGGACAGACGGTCATACAACGAGGTATCCTCTAATATCCTAGGAGAAGGCATACACCTCCTTACTCTCCTTGATGGAAAAGCGGTACATTAGGACCCAAGATAAGACAAACGCATCTTTCCTT